ATGTTCAGGTGAGGAGCTCAGGGCCTAGAGAACACCTGACCTGTTAAAGGCTGGGCCCAGGTAATCTGACACCAGAACCAGCTCCACTTCCAATCAAGACTCCTTCTGTACCTTGCACTGTCATGTATTCCACAGGCCTCCAACCTGAGTCCTGAAGCCCTTTCTTCCTCTGTTCTGAGCCCAATTCCAGGGCCATTTCCCTGTTGATATGCTCATCCTGCTGTGTGTGCACCTGTAGCTGGGCCGCTCCACCTGAGCTCCCAGTTTTACATCAGTCTCTCCAGGCTGATAGCCAGATCACCTGGGAGAAGCTGGACCTGACGTTCTGTGTGCCGCATCGCATGCAGCAGGCCCTGCTGTGCCCTGGGAAGCTGGACTTAGATGTCAGCGTGGGTCAGGGGCAACACACACTCACACACACACACACATATTCTATTTGAATCCTTTTTAAGAGCAAAAGGTTTTATGGAAGAAAGATGCTCTTGGGTGCATCTCAGCTCCCCTGGTGGGCCTTTCCCCTCTTCTAGAAAGTCTTCCAGCTTTCTCTTACAGGCAGTCTTACGTTCTCTGCGTCTTCTGTTCTGGAATCCTGTTATCAAGACAGGAGAGGAAGTGGACGAAGCCAGTTAGAAGGTGGTTGCAAAATCCACACAAGAGACGACAGGCAGTCTGTATTAGAAACCAGTGGGGCTCCAGGTAATTCATTCTATACTAATCTTTTGACCAGCTAGTTGAGCTAGGATAAATTACTTAATCTCTCTGTCCTTCAGACTCCTCATCAGTAAAAAAGGGACGGTGATTATCTCTTTCATACTGCATTGTTATATGGGCAAATGTTGCACAAAGGCCTTTTGTAAACTGTGGTATATAAAAATTTACTCTTTACTGCATTTAAGGGGGTCTGAGCTTTCACTTGAGGACCCATCACTGGTGGGGTTCTCCTGCCCACCAGGACCCCTCCACCAGTCCCATTTTTTGCCCAATACTGAGTGTCTCTTTATTGTAACTCAAACAGTAAGAAATTACTTGGTTTGCAGATGGGCTGGTTTTTACCTTGTAGTTGGAACTCAAGCTTAAAGAATGTGCACTCAAAAAAAAAAAAAAAGGAAAACAAAGAAAAACTGTCCCCTACCTTCTAAGGTAGCAAACACTCAAGCAGTGACAGGTTCTCAGGCAAAAAATCTACATGTGCTGAGTTTTTGAGACAGGCAATTTGAATTCTGTGGCTCAAATTGTCTTATTCACAAAACACATTGCAAATCAGTGAATGCAGTGGGGTGGGGGTTGGAGGGAGTGGTTTAGAAGGGTCTTAAAGATCATCTGGTCCAACTCACTCACTTACCAAAGAGGGAAACTGAGCAAGAGGGAAGGAAAGAATCATACCCAAGATCACAGTATCAACAGAAACAGAGCTGGGATAAATCTCCCTCGCATTATGTCATGAAATATTTTCTCTGGGAATGCCGTGAGCTTTACTTTCATTTTTACTCTTTCTGTATGCTTGGCTCCAAGTGAAAGAATACTGGTTAACCCCAGAATAAATGGAGCACAGGTAGGGAGCATTAGGCCATGGATGCTGCTTCGTTCATTTATCAAACAGTACTAAGCCAAAAACTGAGGGTACTGAGTTAAAGGACAGGGGCCCTGCCTTCAAGGTGTTCAAAATCTTATGAAGACAGATAAGGAAACAACCTCCAGGAGGACAGACTAGTTTCTCTACAGTTAAATGAAACACTCCTACCATGTGCTGCTTGCATTTTATATTTATACTTAGGGTTTCATTGATTCTCCTCAAATATAGATTACTACGAGACTGGAAAAACCACACCAAATACCATAACTTGATAAAGATCAATGGCAAGGTCCTTGAGCACCTTCGGAATGGCTCAGTCCCCCTCATTCATGCATTCCTCAAAAAATATTAGTGGAGCATGTAGAATGAGGTTGCAAGGATGCAAATATAAATAGACAGTCCTCTCTGTCAAGAAACTAACAATCTAGTAGAGAAATAAAGAATGATCATGGAAGCTCTTGACAGGTAAGGGGCATTCCTAGGAGAAAAGATGCCTGTGTTGGCTTTGGAAAGTCTATGGAGGTTTCAAAGAGGAGGTGGAGTGTGAGCTGAAGCCACTTAAACACTTTGCTGAGCAGGCAAAGGGCATGTCATTTTAAGAAAAGAGAACAGCGTGTGCAAGGCGTGGACCTGTGGAAGCATGTAAGCCCAGGGACCTGTAATAGCTGGTGATTGCCTGGCTGGCATAGGAAGCGAAACGACAGGTAAGTAGGCAGAACCTGCAGTGGTAGGGAGGTGGGGTTAAATTGTGTAGACAATGGAGAACTGCTGAGGGTTTTAGGGAGACGATTAGGTGGTGACGTTTATATTTCAGAAATTCATTCAAGGAGAAAAAGGTGGGTTGGAGTCAGAGAGCCTAGTGAGGAGGCTGATCATTAATCCAGGCAAGTCCTGATGAGGGCGTTGTCAGTGCCACTTCGAGCCACTTCAGAACTTGATTTTCTGCATGATTCACCCATTGCCACACATACCTGAGTGATGGTGCTGAGCATGAGGTATAACAAAGAAGCATGAAGTTATGCATTTGAGTCTTCAGAACTGTGATTCATGGTCCTGACAGTGTTCCCTCTGTGTGCAAGAGACTTGCCTCTCCCCAGGCAGCTGGAACAGTTTAAAGAATCATAAATGATCCATGGAGAATTCAAGTTTTCCTGCCTAAGGGAGAAGCTGACACTTTGACCTTCTAGAGGCATTTGGAGGAGGTGGTTTTAAATAACCCCTAATCCATTTTTCCATTATTAATACAAACTCACTTCTGAGCTTGCGGTTTTGGTAAATCTAACTGCATTTTCCAAACAAGGTCCTGGCAAAGTGACTGATCTTTCGTCATTTTTTTTCATTGCCAAGAGACACTAATTCAGCCTCTCACACTTTCTTGTGGTCGCTCCTGTTCCTTCTCCTAACATGCTTTCCCTTTCTGGCTGTGATTGTGCATAGGTATCTCGTAGATCTAGGCTTGAAGTTTAGTTCTGCCATGCGTTATGCGTATGATCTTGAGAGAGCTGTCCTAATCCCTATTCCTGAGTTGTCATAGGGTCCTAGGCAAGTTGGTGAAGTGCTCAACACCTTGCCTACCCCACAGCCAACACTCAGTATTCAGTAGCTGTCATTCTAGTTCAATAATGAAAATTTGTCATTCTCTACTGAAAAGAACGAAGTGAAGTACTGAAAGTTTTGGTACTACTTGGATATCTTTTGATTATCAGGATAACCATGAATCACAGTTTTCTTACTCAGGTTAATTAAGCATGACATCTGAATATCTACTTGATTTCTATATCCAGCTGTAGAACCCCATAGTAACGTATAATTAAGAGACAGTTGCTAATAAGAGACTTGGAACTTGAAATTAAGAGCAAAAATAAGTAGAGAAGCTCCATGAGAAAAGGGCATAGTTGCTGATCCTCAGGTCATTTCTCAAGCAGAAGAGCCTAGAACACAAATGGCCATCTTCCTGGGATCTTCTCCCAGGGCTGTGTGTTGTTGGGATAGTGCCAAGGGTGAGGCCTTTTCTGGAAGTAGTGGCTTGGTTACATTTCAATGAAATAATTGTTTAATGTTAGGGCAGGTTATTGACAATGGGTGTGGGATCTGTTTGAGAAGAAGGTTAAAAAAAAAGTATGGGACGAGATTACCTTTTCTGGGCTATTGCAAGTGTAGACCTGCCTAGAGCCTTAGAGAGAATTTGTCTCAAGCACATGGAATGAAGCACTAGGGCCACTTGGGTAAATTCTTCAAAACCTAGTTCAGTTTTCTCTAACTGGATTTTAAAGATCTTGTAGTATTTTTCTTATTCTGGTGGTCTCTTAGATATTCAAGTTTACTTTGACTTTTTAAATAATCTGTGATTAATTTGTTTTGTTTTCATTCTTTTTTTAAATTATGAAACAATGCTAAAGTGAAATTTTAAAAATTTATCTTTAATTGTCCTGTGTTAATACAACTATTTTAATTTTGAACTTTTTTTTAATCTTTGTTTACCTACCTATTTCTTAATTAGCCATCACAGTGAATCTGGAAGAGTTTTGTTATTATATATGCTTTACTAAGGAAGAAATTGAAGATAAGGCAGTTAATATTGCCATAAGTAGCAGACATAGTAAATGGCCAAATCAGGAGTGAAAATTAGGAATGACTTCAAACCTATACTTTGTTCATCTACACTCTACTGTGATAATGGTCACACAACCTGGTGCCTAATTGATGTAGGTAATGTTATTTCATGCACTATTGTTTTTACTTACTAGCAGTAATAATAAAAGAATGGGATTATATCCACTGAAATTCACCAACTAATTTTGTAAAAAGTCACCAAGAGTTGGTCATCACTGAAAACAATGTCGTAGGAAGTCTCTGAAGATGAAGAGAACTAAAGACTTGATGTGACTAATAAAAATGAGCTGTTTCCATTTGAAAAAAGAAAAAAGAAAAACTAAGACCCGCCCCCCCACTATTGCTGATCAAATTTTCCGAGCCACTTTTTGATCATTTGGCTGTAAAACCTTTATATTGTTCTTGTCAGTAATCTCAATATCCCCACAAACTACATGTAGAATTAGGTACCTGGGCAGCAAATGCCAATCCACTTAACTTGTAGAAGGAAAAGATAAACAGTCTCCATATACTTTGCATTAGTAGCACACCAAGGGACAGTTGCCCTCCCGTTTGGTCATCAGTGCCCTGTGAAAGATGGCACGTGATGGAGGAGGATGAACTCTCCAGCTCTTTGAAGTGTGAGAAGAGTGTTTTGTGCTTATCTCTTTTGTAGAATACCAAATGGAAGGAAGTGGACTTGAGGAGACTTTGATCAGGCACCCAGAAGGGTGTTCCCATCAAAGAACTGCCCGGAACTGCAGTTCTTGGCTCCTACCCAAATCTGAAAGAATCCCAGCCCCGGCACTGATTGCGTTAATTTGCTTTTCTCCAGGCAGAATGGGGAAACAGAATAGCAAACTGGCCCCCGAAGTGATGGAGGACCTGGTGAAGAGCACGGAGTTTAACGAGCATGAGCTCAAGCAGTGGTACAAAGGGTTCCTTAAGGACTGTCCGAGCGGGAGGCTGAACCTTGAGGAATTCCAGCAGCTCTACGTGAAGGTAAGTTGTTCGCCTCTTTTCCCCTTCCGTCCAGAAAACGTTGTTCTCATGAAATGTACCTTCGTGTGGAATTATAACTCAAACCAGCCAGCTTGTTTCACCCAAAAAGCAAAATAGAAACTTACTCCTAGATATAGAGAACAGACTGACAGTTGTCAGAGGGCAGGGGGTTGGGGGGCTGGGTGAAAGAGGTGAAAGGATTAAACAAACAAACAACAAAACAGTCGTAGACACAGACAACATATGATGTTACCAGAAGGAAAGGGGGCGGGGCAGGTAGAAGAGGGTCAAAGAGGGGAAAATGGTGATGGAAGGAGACTTGACTTGGGGTGGTGAACACACACAATACAACATGCAGATGATGTATGATAGAATTGTACACCTGAAACCTGTATAACTTTATTAACCCCAATACATTTAATAAAAAATAATAAGTGAAAAAAGAAAAATCGACAGTTTAAAAATGCAGAGGTGTGTGCTTTGTTCCAGAGATAAGCAGTTTCTGAACAAAAGGAATAATTGTTCAATCAAAACACTGACTAGAGTTTAGAGGATGACAGGCTGGTAAAAGAACAGTTAAATTTCAGATAATTGTGTTTGCTCCTGATTATTGACAAGCTGCTAATTACACTATTGTTTGGCTTGAAAAAGTATCTGTATCTCTCTCAATTAAAAAGAAAATATGTGGATTTTTTGACCAAGAAACATCTTTCTATTTTCAGATAAGAAAAACACAAATTTCCACATTTAGAAGAGGTTACAGAAGGTATGGTGTACATCCAGGCATTAGTGTTTCCCAGGGACTCTTAACTCAGCATTTTGTACTATTTAGAAGCTAATCTTTCCCTGGACATTAGATGAAACTGTCCCAGGAAAGGTATAATTTCTACTGCAATGGTATTGTTTGGGTTTGTCTGAGTTTCCCAGGCATGATTCAAGACATTCCATTTGTGTCTACTTATATAATGTTAGGCTTGTGGAAGAAATGTGTGTTTTTTCTGTTGACTTTTTCTGGCTGAAATGCCAAATAGAAAATATTGATTTTATCACTTAAGTATAGCAACCGTCCATTTGAGCAATCTGTAACATTCATGTGCATGTATGTGTGTGGGGGATGATTGCATAAAACACGAAACATTGTCATTGTCTCCCGAAGTCGAACATTTCACGTAGCCTGTGCTCCAGAATTCCATCCTGCGCATGTACAAGAAAGGACATGTATAATAATGCTCATAGCTGCACTGTTCACAATAGCAAGGCTGGGAAACAACCCAAATGCCCATCAAAGGGAGAGTGGAAAATAAACTGTGGTATATTCACACAAGCAGTCAAAAGAGTTGAACTGTAGCGATATTAAAACATTAAGTGCAAAAAACAAGTCTCAAAATATTCTAAATTAAACACAAATAACCTAAAAATATTGTTAAAGGCTACAAATAAGTGCCATAAAATCATATAAAAAGGAAAGGAAGAGAGTGATGAACACAGGATTCAGACTGATAGTTACAGCCAGTGGGGAAAAGGCAAAGTATGTGGATACAGCCACATAGTTAGACATAAATTATGTCAGTTGTGCCCATTGTTTTGGGTGGTGAGTCTGCAGGTGTTTATGCCATTATTAAAAGCTCATTAACCTTGCATGAGTGCCATTACTTAGAAGCTAAGCACCTGAGGGCACTAGGTTTATAAAATCTATCTCTATAAGTGTGTGTTAGAAGGTACATATATACCAGCAGGCATGCATGTAATAAGATTACTGTGACAATTCTAAGAAGATCTAAGTAATTCATGATTAGCATGTGAAGATCTTTTATATAGAAATGCTGAGAAATGCATTTATTATTCAATTGAAATAAATTGCTTTTGCAGAGAAGTGTGACGGTATGCATGTTCCTAGATTATTATATATGCGTTTTCAGAGTCTCATCTTCTACTGTTTTATTACGCAAGAGTTAGCCTGGGCCTCAGAACTGTCCTCACTCTCACCCCAAGGAAAGTACAGACAAATGAGATTTGTCAAAGCCACTTTCATATCACTAAAGGTCATACAAGCTGTCACTCTGTGTTTAAGAGAGCTCTGTGTGCCACGTTCATCACTATTTGTTTAAAATGAGAGGAGGTTTGCCTTTGAAGACATGGTTGAAATGCAGGAAATGAGGTATTTCATTTATATACTGGAAATACTCAGCACTGAAAAAGCACCAGCCTCAAGAAGGGGAGAGGGGAGGATGTAAACATTAAACACAGATCAGAGTTTTGGGGTGCAACTGACGTATATGTACTGACATTATCTCCCACCCACACCTCCCCAACTCTACCCTAGAGTGGATTATTTTGTTCCAGGAAGGGAATACATCACTTTCTGGATGGGGTTTAGACTCTTGGCAGCCTCTTAATGGCCATATTCAAACTCAGCCTGTGCTCTTGTGTCAGATAGTGAGAAAGTAGGAAAAGTATCCTTCTCCTTGCAGAGTTGTCCAAGGACATAATACAAAGAGGAGTCACATAGGGAATATGCCACATGCACAGAAAAGAAGGAAGACAAGTCTGATAGGCTAGAAAAGCATGGAAAAATGTGAATTATATAATGAGGACCAGGAGAAGGGCTGACAAGAAAAGAAACTTCCTTTAATGCTGCTGAAAAGTGCAAATGTTCAGCAAGATGCAATCCTTCTCCTGGGGAATAGGCACTTTTCAGTGGTTCCTTCTAGCGCAGTGTGGACGTTGAGACATCCTGGAATACAGCTGAGTGAGCAAAACTGCTGGTGGCCTCTGCCCTCCTCCTGTCTGTGTGGTCAGCCTGGCACATCTACTGTCAGTGACCTGACCCGTTTCAGGCTCCAGGAGGTCACTTCACTGCTGTAGAACAAATTCTGGTGGGGGGTGGGGAGGCGTGGGATGATGGGAGAGGCCCTTCTGCAAGGCCAGGAGGCACAAACCCTCAACTTTAGAAGCCTTTGTAACTAAAATATGAAGGAACCCTTTCATTGAGTCTGTGTTTTAAAATGTTTAAAACTGGGGTTTAGAAAAATGAGGCAATTTGCCCAGTGTCACAAAAAGACTGAAGGTAGGAAGGAGAATGGACGAAAAACACTGGTATGCAGACTTGCACCAAAGTGCACAGCTCTACCTGTTGCCTGGACTCCGTGGCAGGTCCTCCTTGAGCCCTCCCTCCCAGCCACCGCACTGCTGCTGGAGGGAGCTTTGAATGGCACAGATCTGGGCATGGTCCTTCCTAGTCTGATACGGGTTTCATTTTTTTAGTCATAATGACCACATTTACTTCATTTCGATTAACGTAAGTCCCAGGGGCTTGCACAGAGCCTGCTGCAGAGTAGGCATCAGTGTTTGTCGAGTGAATTATATTAAAGGCTGGCTGTGTGTCTCTTCCCCAGGAAGCCTTGTGGTGGAGACATAGAAAAGGAACCTAAGGCCAGCCCTGCCAGCCCTGAGGCTCTCACAGGCTACTCAGAACGACACAGTTAACCCCCATACAAGACAGAATGATCTTCTTGCTTACAGTGGGGCAAGAGTGGAAAGGAGAGGTTAGTTTAAAAAATGGTATAATAAAATAAAAAGTTAATTAAGGCAGAGATGGAGGATTTCTAGCTTTTAAGATAAAATATCTCTGTGGAGATATTTTTACCTTTTTCAAGCTTGGTACCTGTGATGGACTGAAACGTGCCCTCCCCCACAAGTTCATCTGTGGAAGTTTTAACCTCCATTACCACTGAATATGACTATTTGGAGGTAGGGTCATTAAAGAGGTAATTTCAAGTGAAAATGAGGTCATTAGAGTGGGCGCTAATCCATTATGACTGGTGTCAGAAGAACAGGAGATATGAGGACACAGGGAGAAGGGGGCCACCTATGAGCCAAGGAGAGAGGCCTCAGAACAAACCGACCTTACCAACACCTTGATCTTGGGCTTCTACCCTCCTGAAGGGTGAGGAAATACATTTTTATTGTTTAAGTCACCCAGTCTGTGGTACTCTGGTATGGTGGCCCCAGCCACCTAATACAGTACCCATCTCTTCTCTGTTACAAGCTTCTCCCATGCAAACCCAGAGCCTCCTGTACCTGACGTACAGACACCACGGCACACGCAGGAGCATCTGTGCCTGGTCACAGACATCGTAGGAGTTGTTTCCTTGCCCCACCACCACAGCACTGTTGTGAGAGGTTGGCAAGGGAGCTTTTGCATTTTGTCATAAAGAGCCAGGTACTGGTTATTTTTCCCCACGAGCATTTCCTGTTTCCACAAATCACAGTGATTGCCAAGTCAAGATCACAAATTAAGATCGTGGGTTTGTGATGTTAACTATATTTTCAGAGAAGCAGCCACAGTTTCAAAAAGAAAACCTACCCCAGGGAAGAGCAACCAACTGGGTGAAGGAGGAATTGTCGCTATCCAAGGGCCTGTTCCTCAGATAGGGATGCCAGTCTATTTTGTTTAGTCCCTGTGACATCAAAGCTGAAAAAATTGTGTGACAAAGGTGGCAGAGTCCTGAGAAGCCCCGAATAAATTCTGGTATTTCTTTGGAGTTTGTCTCCCAGAACTTTTTGCATCAGGGCCCACTTGGGTGGGTTCAGGTTGAGTTGGAAAAGCAATCGGGGTAGTTAAAAATGATCAAGGGATTTGGAATCTGGCAGAACTGAGATTCAGTCCTAACTGTGCTACCTTTGCCAGATCTCTGCTTCTCTGAACCTCTGGGTCCTCATCCTTAATATGGAAATAATAAGCCCAGACTGGTTACCTCAATGGTACGGTCCCAAAGGAAAGAAGGAAAGTGAAAATGATTTTGCAATCTGTAAGAAGATGTTTTTCCATCATGAATGATGATCTACTCATTTAGCCCCAGATAGGCAAGAGGAAAAATAGGTTTTATTTTATATGCCAAAGCTGATGGTCTACAGAGGAGGATGTAAGGTTCTGTTCATGTCCACTATGTGTCCCAACGTGGGGCAGCCACCATGGCAGGAGCAACCATGAAGCTATG